AGCCGAGCAGCGATAGCAGCAGGCCGAGGAGCAGCGTGAGCAGCGCGCCCGCGCCCATCACACCTTTGCGCTGATTGGTCTCTGTGGGGGAGCAGCGGCTCAGCGCAGGATCACGCACCCCACTTCATTCCCTGGCCCGGCGTTCTTCACCCACTCACCCAGGTGGCAGGCACCGGTGACCGGGTCGCATGATTCCTCGTGACAGCTGCAGGCCTGGGCGCAGTCCACACCGTGGAGCCCGGCAGGGCATGTTACATTACAGCTGCAAAGTTTTGGGGTCAAGTAGGGCTCCCCAGAATGCCTCCTTCCCCTGCACCGGCCGTCATTGCTGGCTGGTCCCGGGTGCCCTGTCCAAGCCCCTGACTCCATTCTCTAGAGACTGAAGCATCCCCATCTGAGGGCGGGCACTCACTTGATAACCACAGTTTGGAAATGTGTGTGCTATCTGCAGGAGGGAGTCTTGAAGGGACGGACTGACTACTGTGCGAGTGGAAAATGGAGACCCCAGTCCAGACCACCGACTCGCTCTACACCATATCTGTGTCACATCAGGATGCCACTTTGCCAGATTTCAGTCTGAGGGCAAGCTTCAAATCAGATACTGCCCCAAAGTGCTTGCGGACACTCCCCGGAGTACCCGTCCCTGAGGTCTGGCTGGAGGCCCTAGTGTTCCCTATCCCTCTCCACGTCCCCACTCACTGAGGTCCGTGAACACCAGGGCTGCAAAGGCAGCGCCCAGACTGGAAGTCACAGTGGCCGCTGCCGCAGTCAGAGCACACGAAGGCACAGTCCTCACCGTAAGTGCCATTACTGCACTTGGTCTCGCACCTTGGTATCAAGAGAGGAGGCGTGAGCTGAAATGTTAAGCCAGAGGCCACAAGGCCTACAGAGCCCACCGTGCAGGGACTACGTGGGAGACAGGACTGGGGAGCTGCGTGTCTGGGCCGAAGCAGGCACGGGCTGCTCACCGGTCGCCGATCCAGCCCGCATTGCAGCGCGTACATTTGCCAGTGACATGGTTGCAGGCATGCCCATCGCGGCAGGGCGGGCAGCGGTGACCACAACCCTCGCCATAGAAACCGGTGGCGCAAGGTTGGTCACATTTGGTTCCGTTCCAGCCGGGTTCGCAGGTCACACAACGGCCGTCAGCTACAGTGCACGGCTGCTGGCCCTTGCACTGGCCACACCTAGGAAAGGGCCAGGAAGCTGGGCTGGATGGAGTTCCGCTTCACCCCTCCGCCTTCCCGCCACCGGGTGCCCATGCTTACCGACGGCGACAGCCCAGGCCATAGAAGCCAGCGGGGCATGGCTCGCGACAATACTTGCCCCGGTAGCCGGGATCGCAGGCGCACGTGCCGTCCACGGGGTGGCACCGACCGTGGAAGCACTGGCAATAGCGATCGCACCGTGCGCCGAATGTGTGCTCACGACACTGGCAGCGGCCGCTCTGCTGCTCGCAGGGCGACGAGTTGCAGGCACACTGGTTGTTGCAGCTGCGGCCCCACCAGCCTGCGTGGCACAGGCAGGCTCCGGTCTGTGGATCGCACCGTGATGTGGTGCTGCAGTAGCAGGCGCTCGCGCACTGCGCACCCCACCAGCCCGGTTCGCAGCGGCACGCGCCGCTTCGCGGGTGGCACGTGCCATGCTGGCACTGACACGCATGCTCGCAGCGCGCACCCCAGCGGCGCGCGTGGCACGTACACTGTCCAGTCACGTCCTCGCACTGTCCGTGCGGGTGGCAACTGCACCTCTCCTTGCAGTCAGGCCCCCAGAACTGGCGCGGGCACTCTGCAAGAACCAGGGGGAAGGTTGAGCTGTTAGCCTGCATACACCCCACCGTCAGCTCCGCCATAGCCAGCCCCCAAAGCCAACCTACCCCAATCTGCCTCCCTACCTAATTTCTCTAGTTTCTCTCCAAGCTGACCAATTCCCACCCCCACCTCGTCCCGTGCTCACTAGTGTCGCAGTTGGCACCAAAGTAGCCATGTCGGCAGCGGCACTCGCCTGGCCGCACGCACACCTCGTTTTCTGAACACGTGGAATTGCCTTCACACACCGCTGCAAACAAGAAGGGCTGAGCTGCAGTACGTGCTCTTTCCACCTCCGCTCTGTACCCGCCTGCCCAGGACCCCAGAAAGCCCCACTCACCAATCCCACACTCATCCCCCAACTGCTTCCAGCCAGCGCAGCACGTGAGCACCTGGGAACTTCAAGCAGAGAAGCGACATCTGAGCCTGACGCCCTTCCCCCCACACTCCCTCCCCAGCTTTCATGGTGTCCTGCCTGGGCGAGGTGGTTGGATACCTAAGCCTGATGCTTGCCAGACAGTAGCAGGCAGGGGACTAACACATCTCCACCACCACAAGTGCATACGAAAGGAGCAAAGAGCAAGCCCCAAAAGCTCACCTTCAAGAACTGTCATCTACAGGGGGGCTCCGCCATCCCATCAGCCTCAAGGGTAAGAAATTGGAAGCAGCAAGGCCAAGAAGGGGCTGCAGTGAATACGGAGGAGTAGGGAGCCGCCTGCCTCTCACTACCTTTTGAAGAACTAGCAAGTTCCTGCGGGCTAGGGGCCTAGCCAGATGGATGTTACGGATCCAAATGACTGTGATGGCACCACTGCCAGATGGGTCTGAGGGCACCAAGATACCCACATGAAGCTAAAACCCTGAGTGGACAAGCATCTGTGGTGGGGGTGGAGCCAAGTGTAGACCCCTGCAGAGTTCCTCCAGAAGGGTCTCCGGGAGGCAGGCACCTTATTGTAGGCCAGGGGAACCACACAAGGAAGTGAACTGAGACCCAGTGCTCTCCAGAGGCAGGGAGGCTGGAGTATCTACTTGTATTTAATGTCTTACTCGTGTTATTTGGCCTTAAAAAGTACATGCTATGTCAGTTTTTCAGGGGACTCTACTGAGATGAAACCTTGATCTACATACACCTCAGAGTCAAATGTCTGAGTGCAGCATTTCAGGGTGGTACAGCCTGGAGAGGCCTCAGGTGTGAAGGCCTCCTCAGGGAACCAGGGAGGATTCCTCAAAGATGACCTTAGGTAGAAGGGGCAGTCACTGGAACCACAGTTTCCCAGAACTTCAGAAGTTCAGAATTTTGTCCCAGTCCTACAGAAATGTAGCATTCATTTACATTTTAGAGAAAATGAATGTGCTTCCTCTGGGGCTTGTGAATTCTGAACCCAGCAGGGGGGGTGGGAGAAGGTTGGAAGGAAAGCTCCAGGCTACCTGCTGCCCGGACCAGTTTGGGGTAATAGTCATATTGTAGATAGGATCCAGCTGCCTCAAAAAGCCCCCTGCCCAGCCAAAGAGTTCTGTTCTCCCTCAGATCAATGTTGGGACTTGAGGGACGGAGCCCATAAAACCTTAAACTAAGAGAACAGGCTTTGCATATTTTCCACAGATAAATTGGAAACCACAGAAAAACGAAACAGGCCTGTTTTTGCCATCCCCATTTGCTTGCCCCAAGGATGCCAAGGACCCGTTCTCAGAGAGACCCACTTCTGTCTGGTTCTAGACCAGACTGTCCAGACAGTGCCCCTTCACAGTTGCCAAGTGGCCTGCTGGAAGCCCCAGATACACTGATTCCTGTCTTCCCTGGCTGGCCTAGTACACGGTTCTGTGGTTGGGAGTCTGGGTCTAGGACACTCAATGGTGTTTATAATTATGTCAGCCTAAGTTGGAGAGCAGACTGCAGTAACCAGCAAACTGTGCACATCTTAGCTCTTTCCTCCTGCCAGACCTATGGGTCCTGTCCTTTAAAACAAACAAACAAATAAACATTTTATCTCCCCCTCCCTCTCTGTGTGTGTGTGTGTGGGGGGAATAAACCACTGTGTGCACGTGGAGGTTGAGGGCAACTTGTGGAAGTCAGTTTTCTTCCACCATGAGGGTTCTAGCAATTGAGCTTGGATCATCAGGCTCATCAGGCTCGGTGGCACATTGCCCCTTTACCCACAGCTCAGCAGCCTCAGGACCTACTCTTTTTTTTTTTTTTTTTTTTTTTTTTTTTTTTTTTGGTTTTTCGAGACAGGGTTTCTCTGTGGCTTTGGAGGCTGTCCTGGCACTAGCTCTTGTAGACCAGGCTGGTCTCGAACTCACAGAGATCCACCTGCCTCTGCCTCCTGAGTGCTGGAATTAAGGCCCAGCTCAGGACCCACTCTTTAACTAAAGAACCTGCAGCTCCAAGAAGTGCCTTGCCTGCACAGGACAATTCACAGTAATGGGAGCAGGCCACAAGAGGCCTTGAGCACAGCTGGCAACGCTCAGCAGAGCCAAGCCCATCTGGGTTCACCAAGAGCAAGTCTTGCCTTCTCACTAGGATCACCACTGCAGACAAGGATGGCCTGGCGAACTCATCCAATAGCTTACAAAGCTAAGTACTTGCTCCTGGAGCCAGTGTGTGGTGCTACAGGTTGATGCTCTGGGAGCCACTATCACTGCTGTGTAGCAACCAGCTCACTTCCCCATTCTTAGAGTCTACTCATTAGATCTGTGTCTGTCCCTGGTCACTCACAGATCCAACCAAGAATGCTTCTGTGCCTATCCCCTTTTCTGGGTTCTCACATGTCTGGCTCTCCTCTTGCCCACAGACATGGCTCTTCTCTGTCCTATCCATGCCAGCTTCTCCAGGGAGCTCTACAGGCCCCACCAGTAAGGGGTCATACCATGGGATCTGCTCCAGTGTGTCCTGCCCCCTCAACACTAGCCTTGCTAATGCAACTGCCTACTGGATGGCATGACAACCTAGAGAGCTAAGCAGTGTCAAAAACCAGCATCCTCTGTCCTCTGTCTCTTCCTTCTCAGGTTGCCCCTTCCATGCTGGGAAGTTGAGACCATGCCCACACCAGATCTCCTGAGAAATAAGCCTGCTTTCTCTTCCAGATTCTACCGAAGTTGGGCTCCAGCCTCCAGCTAGCCCATCTGCCCTGGTGCCTCACAGCTCATCCTTATCTGGCTGGGTGTCCCCTCTATAAAAAGCAGTCTCATTCTCAAATCACTAGACACACCTCATGTGGGCTTGGCTCCCATACCCCCTTTCCCCCAGCATGTGCAGGGCTTCCAAGGAACCTTCTAGAAGGGGGAGGGGTGTTGGGTGAGCTGTGCCCCAAATGCCCTCAGAGCTGCCCCCCTTCTCTCCTGTAGGCCTGTGCTCATCATGGCAGGTCTCCCCTGATCATGCTAACAGAAACAGCACCCACCCCCCAACTCGATAACCACTTGCTGGCCAGGGCAGGGGTCTCTGCAGCGGAGTCCTTGCACTAAAAGGCCCAGCACGAAGCACAGCGTGATGTACTGGTTGAGCTCACACCTCTCCCCTCCTGGGCTTCATTCATTGTAATCACAATGATGGCCCAGACCTCGGGTGGGCACAGTCCAGAGACCATTCTTCCCACAAACGCTCCACACACTGTCACGGCAACCTACTCCCACCTCCAGCACCCAGGAACTGAGGCCCATCTAACCCCATTTTACAGAGATGGAGACAGACGCAGAAAATACAAGTATTTGTTCAGATCCAGACAGCCTGGCAGTCTGCTGCCAGGGCATGAAGGCAAATGGATCGCGGCTGTGGGTTAAGAAGACAGCCCACCTCCTGCCCATGTCCC